TTTATTTATGAATAGACTTCTTTGATCTAATTTTATTATTTATTGCAATCCATATATTTTTCTAAATATTTATCGTTTTTTTGTCGTCTATTTAATATGATATACGATATGTGTTCGGACATAAGATTTATATCATAAATACCATCAAAACAGTGATATATTCCTATAGCTTTAAAAAGTATCTATTGATTAGTAAAATCTTTACACAATAGTATTAAATAGTCTGTAGTATAGTCTGCATGCGATACCAATCAGAAACCATCCTGACCTCAAGGCTCAAAGTCCTGAAAACTTGATAAATATTAGATCTAATAAACTGGCGATCATTCAGTGTTTAATTTACAGTAAACTTACATATTTTACATCAAGACCCTATAAAAATGTTATTTTTAATTGAAATTTTTAATATAAAATCTCGTATGAATAAATTAATTTTTGAAAATTGCAATTAGGGATAGTCTAAAATTATCCAATTTGCATTTCAAGATAGAATACAAAATGATTTGCATTTGTATAAAAGGTTAAGGATTAGTATATTTTTAATATTTTTGTTTTTACAAAATAAAAATTTAAATAAGAAATGTAATAATAAATTAAGCAGTGATAAATAGTAAAATAAAGTCACTTTTAAATACAGCTTAATTTAAATAATTATACTTATTTTTGTAAATATTTTTACTAAAAATTAAACTCATTTAAATATATTTATTTTAATCATATACTAGCTACTAGATATAAACCTGATAATAAAAACAATTGATAATCAATAATTGATAATTTAATATTATTTTAAATACTAAACTTATGAATCATAATATTAATAATAGAAAAATCTGTTAATAAAAGCTACAATTTTTATATTGCTTAATAAAAAATTGAATTAAAATGTTTAAATAATGAGATAATGAGTACTTTTTAATATTGTAAATTTAAAAGACATAAATCACCTGGGTGACCCAAAAATTGTAATAAGGGTACAATATTTTTGGATAAACGAGAAGGCCATCGTCACAAGTTAGATGATAGCATCCAGGTTATGATAGTGAAACTTTGTGAGATTGTCATCTTTAATTTAAAGCATACTGTAGATCATTAAGATCTGTCAGCCAGATTAAATGAATGTCAATTTTGTACACATTTGTCCTAAAATCAATCAATACAACAATCAAACAAAAATAGAAATAATAGTTTTCATTGAATTCAATGAAATTGTTCACAGATTCCTGAGGTTCTCATGAGTATTATTAACAGTATTTCTAAATTATGAAATTGATTTTAAAGTTAGTGTAAAATCTTCATAATAGGTATATCACTGGTATAGTATTTAAAAATTACTGTACAATACCTTTGTCTTCTGTATTACAAAATACTGTATTGTATTACTTGTTGGTTCATCACGGTGACTTTTATCTTATTATCCCTTTCATTTTTACCATGTTCCATTATTGGACTAGAAACGGAAGCATTCTTTTTAATAACAAAATACAGTACAGTTACAGTTACTGTATATGGGTTTTAATAAAAATAAGTTGCAATTTGAATGAATTGACAAATATTTTATTTTAAATTTAGCTAAAATATACTTTTCGGTCAAAATATATACGTTTTTAAATATATAATCAAATATTGAATGTATTAAAATGATGACTAAAAATATAGTTATATAATAATAAAAATTACATTTAATATGATTTATAAAATATATTAATTAATACGATTAATTGGAAATACCGGTCATTACTCTTAAAAATAGAAATGTGTTGACTAAATATGACTTCAAAATAAATAAAAGTTTTGATGATTAGTTGCATAATGTGTTAATTTAATTGAAGAAACTTCTTGTCAGTATTGGGACTCAGTTTATGGCGAAAGTGAGAGGAAGGGGTGATGACGGACGGCGTGAGCACTGGTGTGAGACCAGTGCCGCTCTCAGCAAATGCCTCAAGGATGAGACCAGTGGACGGCGTCTGAATGGGTATTCCCGTGTCGGACATGGGGTCGGTGTTCATGCAGGTCAGTGGCAATGAGGTGGGCCTCGACTTGGCCGACGCGCTCATCGCTATGACCGACCCGTTGCTCACCACTGGCTTCACATCCATCTCATGGGCTTTCGATGCATTCATTTTGCAATTCATTTTATGTGTCGACAGAATGTACTCCAACTCATCCTTCTGTTTGCGGAGCTCTTCCACTTCGTTCAGCAGTGACTGTCGCTTCTCCTCCAAGCCGTCCGTCTCTATCAACAGAAGGTTCGTGTGATCCATACGCCGCTTACGACAGCGCGCGGCCGCCTGTTTGTTGCGCTCCCGGCGCTGGTGTCGCTTCTTCTCCTCCTCGGGAGTCAACTATTGGTTAGAAATTGAGTTAAAATGTGTCGCAAAGACAACAAATCAATAGCAAATTCACCCACTCTTTCAATACCTTATCGTTTCTCATGGGTTTCCGCCCACTCTTTGCGCGACCCTTTGGCGACGCTTTTGTCTGTTTGTTGTAATCGCTGCCACTATTGGCCGAAGAGTTGTTGCGGTCGACG